TTTTTTTTGAGATAGGGTCTTGCTCTATTGCCCAGGCTGGAATGCAGTGGTGCAAACATGGTTAACTGCAGCCTCAACAGCGTGGGCTCAAGTGATCCTCCCAACCACACACCAACTAATTTTTGTTATGATTTTGTGTGTGTGTGTGTTTTTGGTTGTTTTTCCTTTTTGTGGAGTATGGGTTCTTGCTATATTGCCCAGGCAAGTCTCAAACTCCTGGGCTCAAGCTATCCTCCCGCCTCTGCCTCCCTAAGAGTTGGGATTACAGGCATGAGCCATAGCGCCCGGCCTGTCATGATTATTTTTTGTAGAGACTGGAGTCTTGCCATGTTGCCCAAGCTGGTCTTGAACTCCTGGGTTCAAGCAATCCTCCAGCCTTGACCTCCCAAAGTGTTGGGATTACAGACGAGAGCTACTGCGCCCACCTCTTTAACTCTTTTTACCTTTTAAAAATCAAATAACAAGACTATTGGAGAAGACCATTTGCAAAGTTCAGATATTGTAACTGTGATAAAAGGATTTCTGTTCATCCCATTCTCTGCAGCCCCTGATCTCCTCTGATGATCAGTTCACAGGCTGGGAGGACCAGAGAGCCTAGGAGACAGAAGGCCCTGTGCTTTAGAACATCAGAGTAGATAGAGGCAAATGATGCACTTGGCTCTGCCATAGTCTTTACACAGAAAGGTGTATGCAGAACCAGGCATTTCCATGAGAAAAGTTAAGGGCAAATGTAATCCCTCAAACACAGCCACACTGTTGAAGATTTCCTTGCAAGCTCCAGAAGGTGTTTACCTGCTTTGAGAAAGATAGGAATCCTCCTGTGGCTAAGTGTTGGCACCGGAGGATTTTATAGTAGCATTAGCATGGCAAAATATTACCTGCAATTTCCCAGGGGGTCTTAAGAATGTATACTGTGTTAATTGCAATGGTTCTTTTATGAATCTTGAAAGAAAGTATGGTTTTCAGCAACAGGCAGAAGAGAATTGTACTACAGCCCCCTGCAAAAGGGATGTCATCTGTTTATTAGTCATGACTCAGAACAAAGTCATGTGATAGGCATTTCCTAACAAATTGTATGGGAATAAAAATGTTCTTTGATCAGTTTGTTCCTGAAAGGTATTTTAATAGGTTTAGATGACTTTTGTTGACCTTCTTACGACTATGTATTATACAGTACTATTGGAATTCAATTAGGCTGTCAAAAATATTTGTTAGAAGGGAGGAAGGAGACTGGCTTTGATTTGGGGGCAGGGGAAGGAAGCTTAAACACATTTTTATTCTAAAAATGGTAGAGAGAGGTATAGATTACTAAAGCAATTGCCATTTGTATATTTGTTCTTTAATTCTCAAAAATAGCTTATATCTATGGAGAAGAAAATAATGAAAAGTAATATCTTTACTGTATTTGAACTGTTTAGACCTTCATAATTTATATACACCTATATTCCCAGAAAGTTTTCATACATAATAAACTCCTAAATCATACCTCATTCTTTCTAAACATGCAAAATATTCAGAATCCTATGGAAGGAAAAATATACCTTTATTCTAAAAATTAATTCTGAGCACTGAAAATAAAAATAAATGGTTTTCCAGTGTTGCAAGGACCATGCTAACAAAATGTAATCAGTGACAAATGACTGCTTCCTCGACAGCCAGAACACTGTGCTCTCCATACGGCTTACTACTCTCTAATAACGTGTTTAATGCCACCAATGTGTTTAATACTGCTCTCCTTCTAATGTGTTTGCCCTGCCAGATTGTGAGCCTGAGAACAGAAACTTCCTGACTGGTTCACCATTATTCTCCCTGCACCTAGAACAGTGATGAGCTTCTGGCAGATGTTGGCTGGATGGATGGATGGACTGTTACGTGGATGAGGCTGTCCAGTGGGGTGAATGGTTTACCTTCAAATGGCATATTTACCTAAGAACCTGCTAAGCACGTGGGACTGGGTGCATGCTGCCCACAATGCCAGCCCTGTGCATTATGAATGTGTGGTCACCAGTGTTCCAGATATGATTGAAGGCCCAATCTAGAGCCTGAAGTGAACCCCTTGGGACTTCCCAAACCTTTCCCCAGAACAGTTGCAATCCCAGTGAGGATAAACTTGTACCTCTTGGAACCTGGGAGACAGCATGAAGTAAATGGTATCAAGTGATACATAGTCTTTTTTTTTGGTTCATTTTGGTTTTGAGATGGGGTCTCACTATGTTGCCCAGGCTAGATTCAAACTCCTGCGCTCAAGCAGTCCTCCCACTTCGGCCTCCCAAGTAGCTGGGACTACAGGCATGTGCCACCACACCTGACCACAGTCTTTTTTGGGGGGAGGGGAGGGGGGCAGTGCACAGGGTCTCACTCTGTTATCCAGGCTGGAGTGCAGTGGTGTGATTATGGCTCACTGAAGCCTCAACCTTCTGGGCTCAAGCCATCCTCTCACCCCAGCCTCCCAAGTAGCTGGGACTACGGGTGCTTGCCACTATGCTCAGCTAATTTTTTTTTTTTTTTGTAGAGACAAGATCTCACGATGTTGCCCAGGCTGTAGCCTTAAGTAAAGTGTCTTCAAAGGCTCACTTTAGCTTTGTAATTTTATGAAAAGTTGATATTCTACTCCCTAAGAAATCCATCTTTGTCTTCAGATAAAGATTATTTTCCCAAGTCATCAAGTTGTGCCATGTTACCCAGCCTGTGGCTTGTGGTGTCTCTGACACAGCCTTGCATGATGCAGGGAGCCCCTGTGCCCTGTGGGAAGCACAGCGTGAAGGTGTTGTCCATAATATTGTACATGGGAAAGGTAACATTAGCATTCATGTGGATTCTCTCATCTAATTTCCTTTTTCACCCAGCAAAGTGCCCCGTGACTGAGAACGAGACAGAAGATTAGGGCGTCTGAGGATGAGAAGGAAGAGGAACCATCAGAGCCACCTGGGAGTGGAGGTCTGCTCAGGTCAGCCTGCTTCACCAAGGTGGCAGCCAGTGGGAACAGGAAGGATGAAGACATCGGACACATTTGGAGAAAGAAACCAAAGCTGGCATGAGCGGAGTCCTTTCCAACGCTGTTCAAGGCAACGGGACGCAAGTGGGTATGACTGTAGATGGCGTAAAGACTTACCATTCACTACTCCACACTCGTTGTGTACTTATTATGGGCGAGGCCTTGTGCCTAGCCCCAGAAATTCAGAGAGAGACAATTAATATCCACAGCCTAGTAAGAATGGAGACCCACAAAAATAGTTGCAATAAGCTCTCTTGGGTGGAAGCACAGTTGTTAGCAAAGGAGTAACATGTAGCTCGGAATGGGGTCGGGGGGTGCATGAGAGACTTCCTGGAAGAGGTGCTGCCTGAACTTTACTCTTAAAGACAAATGGAAGTAGGTTACATAGTGCTTAGTAGGGGCCTAGTGCTCCTTGCCTTTGGTTGTATTTCCTTCTGATTTCTAGCCCCCATTAGGGGTTACCTCATGCTTTCAATATGGAAGACATCAACAAAGGGGTCTAAGTGAAGGAAAACCAAAAGTACACCCACAAGAATCTCAATCTGTCTCTCTGTTCTTCTCCTCTCTCCTCTCTCCTCTCCATCTTTCTCTTCTCCCCTGATCCCATTAATAGTATATAGGTATGCCATTTACTCTGATTAGTGGCCCACTAAATTGGGGGGGGGGCAGGTAGATAATACCATTCAAGGAGGAAGGAAGGTTTTAGCAGGTCGTTGGCTCCAGTGTCTCAATTAGGATATGATCTGAAATATATTCATATTTATATTCTCATAAAGTATGAGAACAAAAGAATTGCTAGGAAGAAGCTTGGCATAACTCCTCACTACCTCTCTTAATAACAATTAGTGGGAGGTTTTCTCCTATTTACAAATCCATTGTCATCCTTTCCTTCCACTTACTAGCCAGGCTGTTTTGCTTGAATCATGGTGCGATATGTACATTCACGAAGGAAGATACATACTAGCACATGCATGGTGTTCTGGTTGTTTTGTGCTGGATAGTTTGCCTTCAGTTAATTATCAAGTGCTTACTATGTAATAATCAATGGGTAGCTAATTGGAAGCAGGAGAGAATGAAATGAATATTATTCAGATAGTGTTTTTAATGAAAAGCATAGACATATTACTGTGGGGAAATATCACTAAATAGCAAGAGATTTCATCTTTTTTTTTTTTTTTTTTTTTGGAGTTTCGCTCTTGTTTTTTTTTTTTTTTTTTTTTTGGTGTGTGTTTACAAAAGGATTCATTTAAGCCACTCACAAACTAAATGCAGGTATGTGAATCCTTTCTTTTTTTTAGACTCCTCCCAAGGGGTAAACCTTGGAAGATACCAGAAGGGAAGCCGAGCCTCTAGAGATTGCTGAAGAACCCAAACCACCCTGAATGGAGCCGGAAGGTCTGTCAATTCCCAGAGAGGGAGGAAATGGTGAGCAAATGGCAGCCGTTGCCTAGAGAATTAGGGAATGAATAGCAATGCTTTCTGGTAAATTAACCGTATTACGTTATGCCAAGGAAAGCGATAGGAAACCCCTGTTAAAAACTGAATAATAATTTGCCCACATCATTTATGCAAAATGCATAATTCTCCTACTTCAGTGGACTTTAGTTTGATTTAAAAGATGAGCAGCTCTAGGACTATTCACCAAAGCATAATTTGTAAGATAATTGGGAAGGGGAAGAGAAATCAGACTGTAATCAGCACAATCTTTCGTAAGCCACTTCACCTTCCTCCTCTCACCTGCAAATTTTGGAGAATATATTTGTTTACACTTTCCTGAAGTTCTCTAAATGAAAGTGCAATGCATTCATCATTGTTGTCGCTACCACTGAACCATGACCTCACCGTGAGAGGGGGAGAAGTAATGCTTCGTTCTATTCAGTATTTTTCTGCTCTAATTCAGATAAGTACTTGTTTTGAATAGTGGGGGGAAAATGGAAATGTAGCAAAGCTATACTTAAAACAGCAAGCCGAGAACAAAAGCAACACGCATGCAGCCAAAGGAGACCTTGGAAGATACACAGATAAAACAAAAAGCTGTGCTTGGCTGGGATTCTGCTTCAGAATCAAATGCAAAATGGAGAATGTTGTTCTAACTGTAAAGATTTTGCAATCTACAATCAGTCGGAATAAAAAGATATAATGTAGTCCACCTTGACAGTCAGAAGCTGCACTGTTGCTGTGAATTATGGTGTTTGTTCATGACTTATGTAGATTTTCAGACCCAGAGTAGTGGAAGGCAGGCTGGAATTTGTCGGCGTACCAGTTGCCCTTCACTTCAACAGGGCACACCCATGTCAGCCAATGTTCGTATCTCTTCCTCTCCTCCTTTTCCCTCCTCTTCACCCCTTGCTCCCCAATCTCATTAGAATCATGAAATTTTTACTTATGTATTCATTAATTCTCTTCATCCCCACATCTCCACAAAGGATCATTATCTGCTTATTAAATTCAGCCCTTACACAGTGTCTCACGCCTGTAATTTCAGCTGTTTGGAAGGCTGAGGTGGGCAGATTGCTTGAGGCCACGAGTTTGAGATCAGCCTGGGCAACACAGCCAGATGTTGTCTCTAAAAGAAATTAAAATTAAACATTTAGGAGGGCATAGCGGCACACACCTATAGTTCCAGCTACTCAGAAGGCTGAGGTGGGAGGGCATCACTTGCGCCCTGGAGGTCAAGGGTGCAGTGAGCTGTGATTGTGCCACTGCTCTCCGGCCTAGGCAATAAAGCAAGACCCTGTGTCTGAAAAAAAAAAGTTTTTAAAAATAAATTCAGCCCTTAGAGCACTACCTTTCAGGGCAAACCTGTTTCCTTTGCCAGACTAATTCCTGTCTCTTCTACAAACTTACTGGTCCCATGATGCTGAACTTTGAACCTCACAAATTTCAACACTTCTTATCTGTTGGGTGCCCATTCTGGTTAAGCGAAAGTACCTTCCCTAATCCTAATACTCCTCCCCACGCCTTCCATCTCTCTCCCCAACCGCTGCTACTGGCTGAAGATTTATTAGACACTAGTTTTGTACCTATGCCTCCTGCCACTTGCTATAAATCGTCTTTATGCAAATCAAAAAAGCTACCCTGCCTCAAGACACTTTGCTGCCATCTGCCAGGAAATTGTTGTAATAAATATGCAAAAGGATAATGACTAGAATGTGAATGGTGGCCCCTAGAATTGTGCAGTACACAACTGGCGCAACTATCTGTGACAACCCTGTAGTTTGAAATCACCTGTACTCTCCTGGAACCCTGTGTAAAAATCACAACCACCATAGGTCAGTCTTGCCTTTTTATGACGGTTTGCAATTTCAAAATCTAAATATCCTGCCATGATCAGAAATTGCTGAGGGGCAGTTTCTGGGAGAAACAGAGTCCCCAGGCAGCAGTACCTATAAAATTATAGTGTTCTTCCAGCACTCTGCCCAAGCTTTGACCTGCTGCCTGGGCAGATACAGCCCCAAACCACACTTGGTTGATTTTCAGGGAGCATCCAAGTTAGAAAGCTGGTAAGGCTGAATGTTGGGGTGTAGGGCGAGGTGGACCTAGCTTGCGTTCAGGTCAGCCACCATCCCTCTCTGGCTTTGGCAGCTTCATTTCTTGTTGATTGCCTCATCTGTTCCCCCCCTCCTTCCTATTCAGCGCAACCTGCACATACTGTGATCTCTCATTACATAACAAACCACTCCAAAACTTAGTGGCAGAAATAGAAACAGCCATTTATTTTGATCACGAATCTGCAATCTGGGCAGGATTCATCGAGGCCAGCTCACCCCTGTTCCACGCAGCATCAGCTAGGGCAGCTCGAGTGCGGCTGGAGGCGCACTCTTGCATTTCACACTGGCTCTGCCTCCACTCGGTGCTACGCTGATGCCAGCTCTTGCCCTCAGGAGCTCAGCTGAGGCTACTGTTGGGGGCTTCCGTTCCTCTCCACTTGGGCTCCCGTGTGTGTGTGGGCTTGCTCACACGGTGGTGCCCATGTTGAATGACCCCAGCTGACTCATCATTAAGTAGAGAAAAGCTGGCCCCACCTAGCTCTGCCCAAATTTCAAATCTCTGAACAAAACAAATGATTGTGGTTTTAAGCCATTAAGGCTTGGGATAGTTTACTTTGTAGCAATCAATCATGAGAATGTATACTCTATGCTAAATGTTGCATGAATCCATTCCCACATCTTTCTAGGGTGCCTCCTGGTGCTGCAGAGTCTAGGAAGCCAAAAACTACACTGCCCAGACTCCCTTTTCATTAAGATCATGACTGTAAGTTCAGCTACACCAATTAGATGTGTTTGCACAGAGCTTGGAAGGCGGAGGCCAATGTCTTGCAGCTTTTGGCTACTTTCTGAAGCAAGTTTATAGAGCCACTGATCACCATTCTCCAGTTTTGTGGGCATCAAGAACCTCGAGGACGTAGCAGTGGCTAGGTTCCTCTGCCTAGCAAATGTGGTGGTGGCAGTAATTCACGCTGTTCCTGGCTTTCTGACCACTTTCTGACCTTGTCTTACAGCCATGATGTTCTTGTAGTCAGTAGTTCCAATGACGGCTTCCTGAGTCCATTTTCTTGATTGTGGCAGAGGTGACAGCTCCCCTGGCAAATTGGTTTTACCGCTTTCTGGGAGCCATCTTCAGAGGCCCAGCCTCAAGCCCTCTCTTCCAGCCCTTCCAACAAGTTTGCAGTTCTTCATGTTATATTCTTTTTTGCTTAAAAACCTTAGTGTGGTTTCTATTTCTTACACAGAACCCTGTCACAGATGTCGAGGTGATCTCAAAGGTTTGTCTCTTCTCAGTCTTTCTTCTGTTCTTACTTGTTTGCTTTCTCTCATCTAATCATTCCTTTAATAAATATTTATGGAATGTCTACTATGTGCCAGGCACTGCACTAGACCCTGGAGAAAAATCAATGAACTAAACAGACATGGCCTCCTCATGAGATGAGGCAGGGCAAAGACCATGAGGCAGCAAAAAACAACCCTTCGGTCCAACCGGCCCCTGCTTGTTTTCGTATATAACATTTTCTTGGAACACAGCATACTCATTCATTTATGTCTTGTCCATGGCTGGTTTTGCCCAACAATGGCAAAGTTGAGAAGTTGCAACAGAGACTATATGACCTACAATGCCAAAAACACTTACTATCTGGCCCTTTTCAGAAAAAGTTTGCCAGCTCCTGTATTAGATAAGTAAAACTCCAGGTTAACTCCTGCAGTTCCCCAGAGCCAATCAATTGCTCTTCTGTTGATTCTGCAGCCCCCAACCCTTGGGCTGTGGACTGTTACCAATCCGTGTCCTGTTAGGAACCGGGCTGCACAGCAGAAGGTAAGTGGGTGAGTATTACCGCCTGAGCTCCACCCTCTGTCAAATCAGCAGTGGCATTTAGATTCTCATAGGAGTGCAAACCCTATTGTGAGCTGTGCATGTGAGGGATCTAGGTTGCAGGCTACTTAGGAGAATCTAATGCCTGGTGATCTGAGGTGGAATGGTTTCATCCTGTAACTCTCCCCCCAGCCCCCACGCCCACCCCCAGGCCATGGAAAAATTGTCTTCCATGAAACTGGTGCTGGTGCAAAAAGGTTGAGGACACTGGCAGACACCATATAGCACCATGTGGGTGCTAAGCACTTCATGAGAATCCTCTAAGTTAATTCCCACAACCTTCAGGATACATGACTATGATCTCTGTTCTACAGACAAGGAGACGGAGATTTAGAGGGATGTGGGTTTAGGTGACTAGGAGGATGGTGATACGGAAGAGGAATAGAAACAGGCAGAAGATGACAAGCTCAGTCCGGACTCGCAGCATGCGAGGCACCTGCAGATGGGGATGTCCTGGCAGATTTTCTGCTTGGTGTGGATTTCAAGTCTGCACAGCTTTTAAGTTCAAATCACAGTTCTACCACTGACTAGCTGTGTGACTTTGGGCAAATCACTTTCCTTCCTGGCGTCTTTTATTTTTTACTTACTCATTTTTTTTAAGAGATAGGATAGCTTGTCACCCAGGGTAGAATGCCGTGGTGCAATCATAGTTCATCACTGTAACCTCAGACTCCTGGGCTCAAGCCATCCATCCACCTCAGCCTCCCTGGAGGTTAGGACTACAGGCATGCACCACCATGCCCAGCTAATTTTGTGTGTGTGTGCTTTCTTTTGTTTTGTTTTTTGGTCCAGGCAGGTCTCAAGCTCCTGGACTCGAGTAATCCTCCCACCTCAACCTCCCAATGCACTGAGATTGCAGTTTTTTCATAAATCAAATGGGCTTTTGTGAAAACTAGAAAAAGTAATATGCATACAATATGTAGCATCATAGGGGCTAGGTACATAGTAGATACATGTGGCAAGTGTGTGGTTCATGGTAGATGTTTGATACGTGTTGGCAACTGCCCGTTCCCCTTCAGTCTTATCCTTCACATGGTAGAGAGTAGTCTTCCAGAATCACAGCCTTAATTATGTTATTTTCTTCCTCAAAAAAATGTAATAGTTCCCACTGACCCCTACTGCAGTGGAAGGAGACCGATTTGGAGACCTGCCCAGCCCATGCCTCTTTCTTTAAACTTCCACACACTATATCCTCTATTGAAGGGTGAGCCCAGTAGGTTGTGTTTTCACTGTATAACAGCCCCACCCTGTCCCCAACCAGAATGGCTGATATTCGAGCGGTAGACACCTGACCAGGGGACAGACAGTCCATTGGCCACTGGCCAATCAAATTGTCTCTGTTGAGTTGGAACCAAGAATCAAGAGACTGTGGTGACAGATGCTTGGCCTACAGGTTGTCTTGAGTCAGGGCCGGAGTTGCCCAATGGGAAGTCAGAGGATGCAGTGTGCAGAGAAACCAAGGGCCACCAGAGAGAGTGACTGGAGGTCCAATCATGCCGTCCTGCACCATTTCTGTGAGATTCCTCTGAAGCATTGTGTACCTCAGCTCTTTACTTGAGCAAATCTGAGGGAGTTTGGCCCAATACGCTCTGGCTCCACTGTGTGGCCCGTCTCCTCCACCATCACCACTGCCCTATCTCATGGCTTCACTGAGTTACCCACAACTCCGCAAGCATTCTCTGCACTGCTCAGTCTTTCTTCCTGCCTGGACTGCTCTTTTCCCCTCTCTCCTCTTCTTAAAAACTTATCCATTCTTTGAGACCCAACTCAAATGTCTACTGATGGCCTCCCTCTGAGAACTCCCAAATACTGGCTCTGGTCTTTTGATGGCTATGGTTATTAGTGTACATCCTTGAGTTTTGCCCCTTGCCACTAAGGTCACTGAGGGTAGGAACCCGGCACACACTAGGACCGATATATGACACTGATTTTAATCCAAGGATTGGAATCCTTGAACACAAGCTGAGTTCCTTCAATAAAAAGTATTGTGCCAGTAGAAGGCATTGTTCATTCAAATGGAAATGCATTTAGAGAATACTTCAGATTAAAGGGATGAAGATCAAAGGACACATTTTTGGCCAGGAGTTCTGAGTCTTAGAGACCCAAATAAATTGTAGACTTTTTATTTCCTGAAT